ATTTACTGGTTTAGGCCATTACTTATTGCATAAAACATTTATTTAATTTTCTCTTACTTAAGACTTGTGCTGTGAAGTGGCAAAATAGAGAGCCAAATTGTGTCCCTAAAGTTTAGGTTCCCACACAAATCAAAGAGAGCTTGACATGAACATAGGAGAATTTTGCTTCTTGATAAAGAATAGCTGATGATCAGTGAACATATTAAGGACTCACAAGGCCTGCACATTTACCTTTCCATTTCAATGAAAACAATTATTTCGTCCTGAAAATACAATCTTTTGGTTAAAAATATCGAAATACAACAAGCTTCAGGAAAAAAAAAACACTATTCTAGCACTGATTCATAGTCAACTTGAAGAGGTGCACATTATGATACATGCAAATTCATGTAAATACAATACATTTAAATGTATCAAAAAGAGATTTTTAGTCACATATATATGTTTAAAAGTGTATGTATAATATTGTAGATATTATGATACTGAAATGAGTGAACAGTAATTTAATTTTCATAGCATTCCCACTGTGATGTCAAATGCAGCTAATCAAGAATCTTCCATTTGAATAGTTCCAGTATCTTAAAAAAGGGCTTCCAGGTTTTTTGTCATCATGATCATAATAGGCCCTGGTTATTCTTTATGGATATTACTGCAGTTTGCAGCCTGACTTCTAGAATATGGACTGAATGGAACCTTCAATTGTACATAACACCATGAGTGTTCAGTGGACTCCTTTCAGGACTCTTGGTCTCACTGGAGGACTTCTGAAATCAGTTTTCTTAAGCATGAGGGAAGCTAGCTGTTCTTTTCCTAATAATAGAAATGGAAACACTATATATTTAAAATAGTTTGAGGTTTGCGGAAAACAACATTTTCAAAATTATATTTTTAAAAAATTCTGAATTCTAATTTGGAACAAAATTGTTTCACTTGTGGAAGGGGAAGACCCTGCATCCTGTGGGATTTTAGGCTTGGGAGTGCTCGTTCAAAAGGAAGAAGTAGGATGAGGGAGAGAGAGAGGCTTGTCTCCTCCATTTGCCTTCCCTTCTCCTCTTTGTTTATCTTACCTCTCTGCAGTACCAGTCTGCCACAACTCTTTACTTACAGGTAGAAAGATCAATGTCACAATTATTTTAATCTATAGAAAACTACAAACAGGATACCAAGTCAATGTGTAGATTTTTCCATTGGTTTTATATTTGCAAAACTTTTTTTTTAATAACAGGATTCCTATGCTAACTGAAAAAAGCCACAACAACGTATGTTGGCAAGACCATCATATATAAAAGGTAAATACTTGGAAGTATTGAAGTATTTCTTGAACCCCAGGTGTAAAGATGCCAGTAAAGGGGAAATGAGTACCTGCTTTACATGTGCGATCTCTAGTTGACAGCATAATTTTTAATCCCCTGTTTTGAATACAAATTCCAAATGGTAGAGGTTTATTTCAGTCTTTTTACTAAGTAGCATTGGTTGGATCCACTGCTTAAACAGACATGAAACAAATAAATTATTCACATTTGCACAAGGGAATCTTCTATTTCTTTTATTTTAGGAAATACCTTCTGCTAGCCAACAGAGCAAAATTAACATAGATAAATTACATCCCATGTGAGTTTGAGGGATATAAATGAGGTAAATCTAAAATATTTCTTGAAACCCAAAATGAAAAGTCTTGGTTTATTTTTTAAATTATTTTTTTCCCTAGTACAGTCTAAGTCAGCTTATAAACAGAAAATACCAAATGAAAAATAAATATTTCTCCATTTCTGATGAGAAATATTTTAATACCTTCAAAGGAATATATTCAAGATATTTGAAAAGTTTCCTCTGTTAGCAATAATTCTTTAATGAATTCAACTCAAATTTATATAGCTTTGATACTTTGAAATTTATCTTTCTTCACAAATTAACCATTGATAATTAAGAAGAAAAAAAAAGCCCTTCTCTGCTCTGGATGCATCTAGCTGCATCACACGTAGCAAATTTACCAAATATATTATTTTTAAAACTCTTTTTAAAAACCTCTTTGTCTTTGCTATAGTATTGTATTTTCTGTCTAGTAATAGAAGTAGTTACCTTCTCCATCACAGCTTTTTGTTGTTTGGAAAAGAAAAATTAAATTATGTGAATAGGATTCACTCATAATAAATGCCACTGTGACAGCCCATCACAAAATCTGAAAGGAAAGCAAGTTTTTGATATGCTATTGTAATAATGCACTTTTCCTTAGAGGGATGACTGTTACAATGTGGAGTGTTACAATAAGTTTATAGAAGAGATTAAAGCTTTCAGAAATATTACAAATAAAAAATATTCTAAAGCAGCTGCATATCAAACATAATTTATCTCTAAACATTGAGGAAATAATCTCTCTATATGTATAGACTTTTGCATTTCTGCATGCTGCAGATTGCACAGCTAAGTCATTTTTCAGACGTAGATCATCTAAAGAATAATAACAAGAAGAACTAGTAACTGTAAAACAGATTAGACATTCAATTTTACTAATAGATGAGTGTGTTTTAAAAACTGCTCTTCTGATCATCATCATTCATTGACATTTCTACCATATTATTTGATTTCAGGAAACTACTAAAAAAAATCTGTTGTCTGAAAAAGAAATTTCTTCTCCACAGTGTGTAGGAAGCTGGTATTTACAACTTCTTCTCAAGTTCAGAAATTAATTGCCCAGTTGTCTTCATCTTAGAAAAACTGGAATTAATTTATGTTAATGTAGTTCATGAAAAATAGCAATGAAACAAAACAAAACAACTCTGATCTATACAATGTCGTGTGTTTTGAAAAAAAAAAAAAGTTTATTCTTCAAACAAAATCACAGATTCTTGAAAGGTATTCCTAAACAGATTTTTATTGTCCACCAGATGAAATTTTCAGTGAGGTCTGAGATCTGAGAGTGGTTTTGATGTTATGAAACCAGAAATGTTTGTGACTTTGCTAATAACCATCAATTCAATGCAATAAATGTAGTTAAGAGCATTTTTGTCTTCATTATTATGAAGCTGCAGATGAAACCACTGAGAATTGTTTATATTCCTGGAAAGTAGGTTATAAATCACAAAAATATGCTGCTACAAAATATGGAATGAAAGTATCTAATCATTTAACATTTATGCAATTAATTTTCCTTTTAAGTTCAAGGTAAAACCTCATTAAGGCAATATAGTACTTTCAAAAACCTAATTTCTAAACCTTATAGTTTATATGGTTTCTAAAAGGTTTTGGAAGCTGTTTTTCAGCTTTATTATAGACACCAGAAGTTCACAAATTGCCACCTGAAGAACACTCATGTACATGATTAAATAATTCATGATATTTATATTATTCCCTGGTACAAAGAACTGCAGAACCTTCTCTCAACTTCTCCCTACAGATTGCAAAAAAAAATTAAGAAAATAGTATAGCACTAACAGAAATATAGCTTTTTCTACTGTTCCTATCTATATATCTCCTGTGTATGCTTTTTTTATATAGGTAGCTACAAATACTGTTTTCCTCTAGCTGGGTACCTGCTTTCAGTAGTTTTATTTTGCATTGCCAAATAATTGCTTTTCTGTTTTGTTTTGTTTTGTTTTTTTCCCTTTCCCTGTTGAGTGTCAGTGACATGTAACAAACAGAAATATTTCGCAGACACCATCTCAGCAGCTTATTTTGCATGCAAATGTGGCATTTTGTTTTCAAAATGATAATCCATCACTATTCTGTACACTTACAAAATTCAATAGTTGAAATACTCTGAAATTCTCTTGTCCCATTGTTTGATAGATCTTTCATTTGGCTCTTCTGTAGCAAATTATTTGTCAAACTATTCTTTCCTTTATACGTCTAGTACTTCATTATATTTTTGGATGGATGTGACCTAACACTTAAAATACAATTTATTGAAGAGGGAAATACAATGTTTTCTTCAAGCTACTCTTTCTCGACATTTCTATCATTAATATATTTCATCTTACAAAAAGCCTTTTTCAGGTAAAGCGGAACTGTTTTCTGTCATTATATTATTGGGATATAAATGGATTAAAAGATCTCTCTTACTCGTGATGGGGGCTATGCAGTAAGTCTACAGCTGCACACAACAAGAATCCAAATTTTTGTTTCCTAGTTCAATACGGTTTTCATCCGATAATCTTTCCTGTTTGGTGTGTGAGCATGACTGCAATGAAATCCTTGCATTAGTAGTTCCTTTTCAAGAGAAACTTGTACAGTACTGAGAGATAACATAGCTAGGCAGGTATCATAGTTCTGCGTGTGGGTTGGTGGAGGAGTACAGAGAGAAATGGAAAGATTGACAGGAGTAGGACAACAATAGCTGCTTTGGCGTAAGATGCCAAGACTCAGGGATAAGCATCTTAACCCTGTTATTACAGGGTTAAAGAGCATAATGAGTATTTTGCAGAACAGAAAAATAGCACGCAAAAAAACTATAATAATAGAGACATTACAGATTTTTTTTTCGTCTGCTCTTTGTACATGATGCTGCAACACCTATCTGAAATGCAAATGAGCCTATGAAGGCCAAGTCATTCTCATCAGTTTTACATCATGGTTTAAAATTTTTTAAGTGTTTTATTTTATTTTTATTTAGATGAACATTTTTTGTTGGTCACTAAGTAGACTTTAGTTATTAATGTGTTTTTACAGAAGCACTCACAGACAAGTGTTGAATCTTATGTACCTACATTTCAGTATGAGTACAGTCAAGTAAATTGGGTGCTAATGCCCGAAGGCATCACCAAGCAGACAAGCTTAGAGCAGTATATGCTTAAATGATGTCTTGAATAGAGATAAATTTAAACACATATTTATTTTTTTCTTTCTGTGGGCTGTAGACAATAGTGAGAGAATCACACCTATCTCTAATTTTTTACTTTTCAAAATATACTTGTATCTATATGTGGATTTTGGGGCTAGATTTTTTTTTTTTTGGTGGTTTGATTCAGTAGATTTTTTTCTCAGTGCTTGTTTTTGTCTTTTAGGCTTGAATCTCCTACTAGATCTTTGGTGATGGAAGCACCCAGGGGAGTACAAGTCAATGCAGCTGCAGGAGACTTAAAGGCTACCTGTAGGAAAGAACTGCACTTACAGTCCACAGAAGGGGAGGTAAGTTCAACCAGGAGAGGAATGTTCTACAGCTCTGCCTAGCTTAACGCAAACAATGTGAGGACAGTTTATTCAGCAGCAAGGTAAACATCACAAGAAGTGTTCTGCATTTGCCTACGTTAAAGTAATTTTGGTTTAGCTTGTGCAATTATTAATACTTATTTGCCTTTTGCAAATATTTGAATCACTAAGTTTCATTCACACTTTAAAAAAAGTTTAGTTAAATTAATATTGATAAGAATTATTTTTAGTCTAGGAGTCAAGGAAAAAGCTACCCAGTCCTTCAGCATAGTCCTGGGACTGAGGCAGCTAAGTGACGGTGGTAAAAAATTACTTTGGATGAATCTGACCAACTAAGAGAGAGAAATTTGGATTAATTTTGACTAAAACCTCAATAAACCACAATGAAGAGGTTTAGCAAGTTTGCTCTATGCTTGATTTATTTCCTTGAACTGTTACTATCTCTGTAAGAGAGACAGAGTACTTCAATGGTACATTCACTGTATTGTTTTATCAGTGCCTTGTTTCAGTGATCAACTTGTAAAAAGATTTTGGTATAGATTCTTCATGTGCAAACCTGTGTGAACAAATGAAAATTATGTTAAATTGGGTCACTGGTTTGGTTGGCAATCCATGTATTGCAGAAGTGTTTGAAAGATTACTGGTACGAGAGTCCTTTCATCTTCAATCCTTAAAATGATGTAAAGTTGAAAAAAAAAAAAAGTTATGCAAGGGTATCAAAGAGTCTCAGATTCCTATTAGATACTTCAGAGAAATGGATAGATGTTCAAATTGTTCTCAGTGGGACTTGCCAGGTTACAACATTTTTGGAAAACTGGTTGCTTAATGTAAATATACGTTTAGGAATGGAGCTCTGTAGAAATTTTTTGTGTTTGTATTTTGTATTTTCTACCAAATGTTCCCAGATAATTTACAAACTGTCCAAATAAGCAACAACAAACACCACCAGCATTCACATCTGTGATAGATAATCCCCTGCAATGCACACTCTTTGCATTACAATGCAGACAGGAATATTTTTGGCCAATATCCTGCATCAAAGGTCTACTTTGATAACACTTTTCTATTTATGCAAGTACCTGTCCTGCATAATTAAAACACAATATTTTCCTAATTCAGAGTCTCAATTATTTATATAGCCCGTGTCCCATCTTACTTCTGATTTTCTCCAAAAGCCAACTCTTCCCACAACTCCTCATGTTGACTTAACACCTCTCTAAATATGAAGTCTTTGTTACCGTTTCCTAAAGTTGCCAAGGTAGCAGTAAGGACAGTCTCATCCTCCTTTAATAGTAAATATCATCCTCTCTCACCCTTGTGCTTTCTGTGACTATTTTTATTGCAGGGGTTACAGCTTCTTGTAACCTTTCCTGCTTCTCCTCCATAAATCCATACCTGGCCCCATCTAGTATGTTTCCCACATTTATTAACATAGATTTTTCACTTAGAATGTATTTCTTTGTTCTTTCTCTTCATGCTATTGCCGGAGGGAAAAAGTAATACTCAAATGAAAATGAAAAGAAAAAAAAAAACAATAACAAAACAACGGAAAGACTGTTACCTTTCCTCCATCCCCCATGACCCCTGAAGCAATGATTGTAGCTATAATGTCTTGGTTTAGTATACCCTGCATCTCTGTGATGCTTTGTACAAATATTTAATCTGTGGATTCATCAGGCATTTTCACCTATATCAACACTGTGAGTTTATTTTGCGACTTCTAGTTTTTCTTAAGTATTTACTACAACTTATTGGAAAAGTATGTTTGGAAAAAACATCCTATGACCTCAGTTGGACTTTGAAAATGGGAACCCAAGAAAAGTTATGACAACTACATAAAGAATTATTCAGAATTCAAGAAATATTCAGAATTCAATTCAGTATAAAATGCTTTGTAGGAAAGAAAAATACCAGTGTAAAGCAGATTTTGCTGAGCTTCATATTAAAAATAATTATATTTCTTGACATGCTAAGATTTTGCACATCTGTGATTTCCTAAGTAGATGTTAAATTGACAGTTATCAGACAGGAGACCAAACTTTCCCCATCCTTTCCCAAGGAGCTGTTCTGTAAACATACAATCAACAAAGTTCAAAGTGTCTAATTATCTCCCGACTACTTGCAATTCCAGTAAGATCTATAAAGAGCTGTACCCTAAAACCCCAGAGAAATTCCACCCCGAGGTCTGACCAATGCCTTTACAGTCATCAGAATGGGGGGGAGGGAAATGCAGAAACACTTTGGAAGGCATAGGATGAGCTTCCACAGCATCACCAGTTGTGCAAAGTTACTACATTATAGGGCCATTAGGGAACTGGTGGACTGATTACAACCTGGTGTGAGGAACCAGGGTAAACATCTGATGGATAAAATATCTATATAACAAAATATTGATTGGTGTCTTTGCTTACAGCCCAACAGCTACACCACAGATTAGTAGACAGTGGGGGAAAAAGTATAAAGGGTTTATCATTACTCGTTTTTAATAAAACACATTCTAAAACAAAATAAAGTGTCTCTGTCAAAAAGAATCTTCATTTTAGCCTACAAATGAATGCTTTATCTGTCAGGATTCTTTCTCAAATGAAAGAATGTTGTCTTTGTGAATTGGATCTGTGAACAATTTTGTGTTAAGACAGTATTTCTACTAGAAAAAAATACAAGGTTTTTTGTATTAATATCACACTGGTTAAGTAAATTTAATGTTTTAATGTTTGTAAGCTTATTCAAAAAATCATCAAAGACATCTGAATTAACTTTTTCCTTCTATAGCCTAATTATTGCCCTATTATACCAGAAAATAGCTATGTGACATCTGGAATCAACCAGTTATAACCATGAAGCAGAACATCATGAATTTACTGTGAATTAATCTATGAAACATATATTTTCCATTTATTTACGAATAACTTTAGAATATTTTTTAAGAACATAAATGTGTTTATGAAATACTTTCCCTCTAGTGTTATTTCTCATGCAGTATAATCTCTAACCTCCCACATCATAAACTGAAAGCCTTTGCAAGCATTCTGAATTCTGCTGTTTGATACGTTTTCTTTTTATTTACTGCAGTATTATAATAATCCTTTTAGCCCTATTACGCATTATAGAGCATGATCCTAGACTGAATACTGGGGGCTGTAATTTAGACTCAGATTCTGCTGCCCTTTATAAAGCTCTTGATCTGCACCCTTGTGAACTGAGGCATCAGCAGAATCCTTTGATTCAATTATAGCTTGGCATTTAATTGTGAACTATGTATTATTCTATAAATAAACCATAACCACTGGTTTAAAGCAGCAATCATTTACAAGAAAAATGAAATGTGGAGCTCCAGGCTCTAGCTGAATCTATTGGTTCACATAAGAAGAAAAAGAATATTTTTTTGTCTGGAAATTCAGCACAATGACTCTTAGTTGACTACTGTTTCTTTCACATATAAACACAATGCAAAGGTACAGATCAATTTTTAATTCTGTTGATACCAGATATTGCTGGGCATAAAAATATGTTAGAATTGAACCTGAAATACATTATCATATAATGATAAAAGGCTTAAAGGAGACAACATCAAACATTATTTGATGTTGTCCACTTATTGGTCTAACAACTAATTTTAGTGGTTTTGTACAACACGCCAGCCTTTGAAGGGGAAGGCTACTAACTAGCCTCAGCTTTTATGAGACTTCTGCAGCTGTTCTGTATTTTTGCAGGCAGCTTCTATGTAAGCTTAGTGCTGTGCTTTCATTGCATCCCATTGACTAGCAGAGATCAAATATGTAAAAGGAGGCTTCTCATTTTTACAAACATATTCATGTTAGTCACCCTGTCTGTGACCTTTTTCCTATTAACTTCTTTAGGCCCATGTATTTCCTTGTTAAATTACACTCCTTCATAGCATCATTTGTAAACTATATTTGGCTGTTTCTGGCATAATGAGGCTGATCCCTTGGTGAGGCTTATAGCTGTCACATTAAAAATGAGCAATACTCCTCAACAGACAAAGTTTACTCAAAATCAGTGTAGCAGACAAGAGGCCAAGTTTATATTTACTATTTTAGGACAACAGAGTTCATGAAGTATACACCTGAGATTATATTGTAGAGATTAACAAATGCATATAGTACTAACATTTGATATAGAATGCTATCCAGTTCTCTAAGTCCAAGAGGTGCATTTAAAACAGAGATTAACATTTAATAAAATCGGAGGAATCATCATTTGTAAGCCAAACCAACAGTACCATTTTAAACTTTGGGGTTTGTGTGTGTGTGTGTGTGTGTATGCATAGATGGGTTTTATATTCTGAAGGAGATAAAAAAGAGGATTTTTAAAATTATCTAAATACACTGAAATGGAATTACCTTGTTCTGCAAGCTGTTTGCCATGACTGCAGAGGAATGGCTGATCAAAGACAACAACATTTCCTAGATTAGTTCAATTCAGCCAAGTTACGTTTGTCTGAGATTAAATGGTTGCAAAAAAAAAATTTGTATGTTTGATGTGCATAAAGTGAGTTCAATAAAACATAAGCAATGGCAGGCTGTAGAGCTCAAAGATCCAGTTTATTCACCAAAAATTGTCTAAAAATTGCATGCTGCGTTTTGTTTTCAAAGCCCTTTTTCATGGTATTAACCAGTTGACTTGTCACTGTTGTCTGGGAGAAAAGACATTAGTGAAAATAAGGGGAAATATTTCTGCATTTTTTTAATTATTGGTTTCAAAAATTCTATTAGGATGTTTTGACAGATATTTAAAATTATTTTAAACAACAACTTTCATTTTTGGTTTAAAATTATTCTTATTGTGTAAGTTAATTTACAATGAAAAGCACTTTTATGGAGAAGTCTACAACCAAAAGATATTGTTCCCAGACTACAAAACCAAAGTGTTTTAACTGATATTACCCATCTTTGAACTGTTTGTTCATGGGCAAATTTTGAGGACTGACACCATAAGCTATTTTATTAGAGAGAGAA